GTTCCGTTTACGAGAGGCTTCCATCAGGAGTGGAGAGCTATACTGATGTCACGCGGTGACAAAGGCTGTTGATCGAAATGCGGCTCACTTGCGACGCGAATTCCCGGGCTTAAAAAACAGTCTTGGCAAACCTTTTAAGTGATACATTCCGGTCAAACACTTGTGACTTGTACTTCGAGAGACGCAAAGCCGGAGGCGCACCTCGCTTGCCTCCACGAGTTCCTCGTCCATACCTCGGAATCGCCGTCGCATCTCCAAAGCCTTATCCGCCAGCGGAGGACCAAAGCGTTTGGCGAGGACGAGCCGGACGAGTCGGACGAGTCGGACGAGCTGGAAGAGGACGAGCTGGAGAACCAGATGGGGGGTTCGAGGAATGAGCCCAGCCCGTGGCCAGGATCTTTCGAGAGCAAAGTGCGCCTTTGCAAGTGCGAAGTGGTGTCTCTTTGAGAAGGAATATATGGGCCGTATGGGTGTTTGGTGAAGGGTACCCTTTTTGGGTGTGATCCAAAGGCAAGCCAAAAGGACCATCACCATTGTAGGGGCCTCCGCAAAAATACACCCAGTTCTCAAGGCATTACCGTTGGGACCATTTTCCAGCTTTCCCTCTTTTGCATCGCATTTCCCTATTTTCCAGGGGCCCAACGTGCCTGACCTGGCTGGCTTTCTGGATGAAGGGTCCGAGGCTATTCTTGGCACGACCCGTTTTGGAACCCTGAACAATTTGGTTGGTTGATTACTTTTGAGTGCCCTGTCAAACCGAGTTGCATTCCCCCCAACAATATCCTACAGCGATTCAATGGATCTTACAGATCATTCATTCTGTTTGCGAGAGGCTCACGTGACGAAAGCTGAATGCGCTCAGTGACCATTCCTCCAACAGCAGTTTGGCAAGCTGTTCTGTAAGTGAGACATTCCGATCCAAGAATTGCAAGCCGGTCAGTGTTGGGCCTCTGTTTCTGTTCCTTGAGGCTAGGCACAGAGTGCCTAATGTTGGGCGGCAACATGAGTTTCGGAAGCATGTCTCGCATTTTCATGGTAAAGAGAGAGGCATTTTCGCGAGCTTGATATCCGACTGCCTCTTGGACTCCTTTATGTAGCAAGACAGATTTTTACATGTCCAAGGTGCTCAGCAGTTGACTCCAATGCATGTTGGTTAATTCCTTGGAGTGACGGCGTTTAGTCCCATACTTGCATTGCTGAGATTTGTTGGGCATTCACAGCGCTCACCATCCAATACACCTTGGACAAGACCTTCCTGGGATTTTAAAATATACAGTGCAGACCTGCTCGCGCTTTTGGAGCGTGGAGTGTCATTTGTTTCTGTTTCTGTTCACGGCCTTGCAGAGCTTGTTTGCCGCGGAGCAATAAAGTTGCAGGCATCCAGCGGTCAGGATGCCTGGGGAGTGGGTTGCTTGTTTGGACACCTGGAGCCAGTGGAAAAGCAAAAATCAGCGAGTGGCGGATCTGAGCAGTGCTGGAGTCCTGGGGTTTCCGAGCTCCTGAGAGGTCAAAGAGGCAGAAGAGTTGGACCGCATGGATAAGCTCTACAATGACCACAAGCGGAGGCGGGGAGAGCCCATTTCAACTGGCCTGGGTCTTGAGACCGACTGGGTTTCCTTTTGGTTCCATTTATATAATCCAAACCACAAAAGGGCCCGCACAAAACACAGCCTTTGGGCTCCCCTAAGCTCGCAGCTTGCCGCACATGAGCAGCGCTCAAACCCGATTCCAAAAGGACCATTGTAGTACGTGTCACTATCATCTCGCCGTTTTTGCAGGTGTCAACCGTGAGTTCCTGAAACCAGAGCGGCTTCCCTTTGGTTTCCCTTTGAATCAACTCGAAGAGGGTTTGCCCCACCGAAAGCTAAACAGAATCCAGTTTTCCCTGGAAAAAATATCATTTTGGGCAATCCTGGCTACCTACAAAACCCATAGTACCCTTAGTGGCTTGCCCGGATCCGTCGCCCTGCAGGTAAAGGAACATCCTTTTTCAACCCAAGACACCGAGGTTAATATTACTGGAGGGTTACGTGCTGCGTTGTTTTGCCTGGATCTGGAAACTTCCCAGTAGCCGGCCTAGGCTGGCGCAGAGGCAGCGGCTCTGCAAGCAACTGGAGGAGGAAGAGCTGCAAATGCTGGCGGAGCCGGGACCCTGGCCAATGACGAACCCAGGAATTTTGCGAAAGCCCTTGGAAAATGGGGCATGAATCTTGATGCGGGTGGATTTCTTCGGTGAGGGTACTCTGTTCACCTTGGTTTAGAAAGGGAAACCAAAAAGGACATCGCCGTTTTGGGGGTCCCCTACTTTGACGCGCACACACACACACACATGCATTTCTGACGCCCCAAGACAGGTTCCAACTCCAAAATCATTCCAAAAGAGTACTTGCTTGGCAGCCCTGGCTGAATTTTAGCAGGCTGCCAGGCTGAAATGAGGTTTCAACAGGAAGCCGTTTGCCAGCTGCAGCCAGCGGTTGGGAAGCCCTATGTAGGTTCCACCCTGCAACCCACTTGTGGCATCATGTACTAACCAGTTCAGCATAGGCCGCACCAAAACATCTTGCAAAGGGTTGGTCGGCATTTTGGGAGCCCTTTAGCAACTTGGAGCCGATTCCGGCACGAGGGCTCGGTGCTTTGAGGCAGTCTGTTCACCGGAAGGCTGCGAAGGCCGACTGGTGACCGCGACCGGCCTCAACTATTTGGGTGTGGCTCAAAAATAAACAGGAGGGGCAAACCGCAGGTTTTGGTGCATTTTTTCCACTTACAAGGGCAACCCATTTTGGTACCGGTTTTTTGAGCCACAGCCATCACAGCCATTTGAAATAGCCAATCTTTTTCACGATTTCCCCAAAGAAGCCGAAGGAGAAGGGGCCATGCTAGAAGCATCTGATTGCGGCCCGAGCTGAGGGGTTGAGCAAGGGTCCCCGCGGAGTGTTGAGCCCAGCCGCAGGCGCGGAGAAGTGTGGAGTCCGAGGTGCGGTCCAGAATTCGGTTGGACAGGGCCATAGACCCTTGCCAAAGGAGCACAACACGAACTCTCCTTTCCCAAGGGATTTTTTTTTGTTGGGGGGGGGAAGCCCCGTTTGGTTGGCCCCAATTTGTATAGGGTCCCCTATTTTGACACATACCCAAGATGCTTGCACACGCTGCTTTGTTTCCACGGCGGATGTTGCTTCACTTGAAGGAGCCGAGTCGTGTGGAGCTGCTCTACAAGGACCACCATCGAAGGAGGGGAAGTCTGGTCGGTGTTCGGCACGGGTCAACACGATTTGTCTTGCAGCTAGCAGCCAAAGTCCGGCGCACAGAAGGATGTGTGCATATATATATATATGTATGTGTGACAGTATGATTGTTCATGGCAATCTGCAGACAAGTCACCGCATCAGCCAGACAGGTTGGCCGGGGTTCTCAATGCTATACTGAAAGCGTCACAGGCATCTTCTCCGAGCCAAGCAAGCAGCAAGCAACTAATGGCAGACGTTGCTTCATGCCAACTGGGCCAACCACAGATTCAGACGTGCATGAGCCCTTTCTCACAAAGCCACTGCACGGGTAAACGACACATAAACTTGGGGTTTGGGATGGTCAGCAGCCGCTTAATATTGGAATTCGAGGAACCATTGCGGTGGATGCCCTGATACAGTATATTGCAAGTAGCCAACCACGGGTTTCCCCTGTCTTGCAATTGTTAGAGCATCGATCGTATCAGGATCGTTTCTTTTTTTTGGGTTTGCGACTTTTAAGGCATGGTGTTGACTTCCAGGCTAGCGCAAAGGGAGGAGCTGAGCAAGCACCTGGAGGAGGAGGAGTTGAGGCTGCTGGCACAGCAAGGGCCTCAGCTGATAGCCGACAAAGCACAATATGATAAATGCTATAAATATTGTTTTGGTTTCCTTCGGTTTGTCCTCTGCCAAGTCTCTATATAGCAACTTGTGGTTTTGGCCTTTTCGGAATCACAAAGGAGATCCCGTTCTGGACGAAACCAAGGTCCAAGCTTGTGAGAGCGTTCCAGCTCCAGATGAACCGGAGAATGCTTTTTTCCCCTCCGAGAACTGACGAGGTACCAAGACTTCCTTGATCGCCTGAAAGCAGGGGGGAAACTGCGCTTGCCATATTGTCCTGGGCACCTTTGAGCTGAAACCCAAGGGAGGTTTCCACAGATGAAACATTCATAAACAGTGGGCCTACAAGAAGCGAGCCCAACCCTGAAAGAAGTCGTCTTGTCCGTGAAATGGTGCAGCGTCAAAGGGTTGAACTCATTTCCATGTGGGAGTGGTGTGTGCTCCGAGAACGATAAGTGTGCCTAGGACTTGGGCCAACGCTTTCTGTATGCACAGGAACCACGCAGGGCAACTAGCAGGGGGGGGGGGGGGGCAAACCCTGACTCCGGCCACACACACACACAGACACTGTACCGAATCCCTGCGATTGGAACTGTATGGGAGATCCTCAAGGAAAACCTGGCCACATCCCAAAGTTGGTTGAAATACGGTGTCGCGCCTCCACCGTGGGTCACACGTTTGCATGGTCATGCACTCGACTCCGAGGCAATCTGTCCACAATAGGAAGGCAAGCAAGGCTGGGTGCACACGTAGTCATGCTCTCAAGCGCGCGGCTCTTTGCGCATGTCAAAAAGGTCAGACTCTGACCTTTCAATGGCCACCTCTACTGGAAAAGGGCAATTAAGTTTAACCAGGAACCTCAAAAATGATTGGTGGACATGAACTTCCACCTAAATGACGTCCCCCAAAGGGTCCTAACTTAGAATTTATGCCCATATGAAGTGAAGGTTGCGGATCCTTGCCCTGGTCTCAGAAGGGCTGTCAGCCGGTCGGGGTGTTATCGTTGGATGCATTTGTTTTTGTGCTGAACCTGTCCACACCGAACCGATCCACGCGGTCCAGGACGACAAGACGCAACTGGCATTTGTGAATCCAGGCTTTCAAGCATGTTTGTTGCACACTTGAGATGCTTTGTTCATGGAACGCAAGTCTTCGAGGCCAGTTTAAAACCCGTAGGAAGCCTATCCCCATTCCATCCTTTGCAGAAGCAAGTTATGTGCATGGCATGGAGCTTGCATTACCCATGCAAAGAAGGAGCACACACGCGCAGCCAGTACAAACATGGAGGGCATGATTTTTTGGGCCAACGCCCTAGTTTTTGTTTGGTTTTTCTTATTGCGTCACCAGCATCGCGCTTTTATCCACAGCTCACCCAAGTAAAGCGGGCACGCCTTTGTGGTTGGGGGTTGTTGGAACATTCTGACTTGCCAAGCACGTGCAGAACTTTTGTACCGTGGCTTTTTGATGCATGCTTTGGGCTTGACTACTTCTGAGTGTCCCTGTCTAAGCGGGATTCTTAGGAGCACAAACTTGACCCTTGGGTTCTAGTCGCCAGGACGCTCAGAGGCGATTCGAAGAGGCTGCGAAGCTCTGCGAGGATGACCAGAAGCGCCGGGACCGGCTGGAGGCGAAGCGTCCGGGGTCCTATGGGTGAGCTTACCAACTCGGGGAGAAGAGCGCGTTCGTGGGGATCCAGTTCTTCTTTAAGGAGTTCGGACTTGCAAAATGTGCAACGACAGGGCCAATTTAGGTGTTGTTAAGTGTTAGAGATAGCTATTTGAGTTTTGGGGAGATGGTGCGAAGATCTTGAGGGGATCGCATTCGATTCCTTTTGGGACGGCGGTTCATTTTGAGGATGTCAATTCAATGGATCCAGAACAACCGGTCCTTCCCTCACCGTGAACGCGGCTGAGGCAAACAGGAGATCGAGGCGCGCGCGTGGCTTGTTTTCTGTGGCAGCGGGTGATGGGTTTAGGATCTACCTTCGGCTTGAAATAAATGGTGTGACAAGTCCGCGTCGCGTGACACTCCTGTTTCAGCTGAAACCCTCCCCATTCGGCTTGAGAGGAGGGCTGTTGAATTCGGCTGAGCAGACTGTTCTGATCCGTTTGCTTGGAGGTCACGAGCGCGCCCGAGAAGCCCTCGGAGACCGTGGGGAAGAGGCTTTTTGAGGACAGCGAATGGTGACCGGCCCCCCCCCCAACCCCCGGTCTAGAAAACAGGGCTGCAACATTTGCGGTCCTATGATCCTTATCTTTGGTGAATTCTTACCTTGAGGCTTGTTTGGAGTTCAAGCGCTGGAAGAGGTTTCCTGCAATACTTTTTTATACAGCACACGCGGCGCGACAATTGAATTTCGCTTGATTCTGTCCAGGAAATGCCTGGTCTGCACTCTCTTGTTGAAAGATGCAGTGCACCGCAGAGTAGACCGCTTGGTGAGAATGCCAAGCTGTGGCGCGTCCCAACACTCCGCAGAAGAGAGGTCTTCTATCCAGGGCCGGTGCAGCCGGGGAAGGCAGGGAACAGGGACCTTTGTGCCAGGAGGCCAAGCGGAAGCAGGAGCAGAAGAGACTGCGGGAGGCGCCAATGGGAAATGGAGGGAACGACGCTTTCGCTCGGGCCTCTTCCGATTCCGGGCGAGTCGCGAGGAACGAACTAGATTGGCAAGCGGTGACCCTTGCGTGCCCCTACATCATCCCCATGTCCCATGGAGAGGTGGTTGTGAAAATGGTATTGTGTATGTCAATGAAATCTCTTTTTTCCTGAACGATCATCAGAGTTCTAAGGTTGGGCCGATGCTTTTTGTTTGAATCATATCCGTTATGTCTCATTTTGACTGGATCCCCGTCTGTCATTAAAGCAATTTGGCCCAAGCCGTTTCCTCAGCTTGGCTGCGAACCTTTCCTGGATGGGAACTGTGTTGGGGATCTTCACCAGTCTCCAAGGGGCAAGCGACAGGGACGCCTTCCGCTCACGGTTGCCGGTTGCCATGCCCTTTTTGCACGGAGTGATGGCACCCTTGGGTCTCTGCGCTCTGTTGTTGACGTAGCGCCCCGGGCTTGTGTTTTTCTTTCCGAAGCTGGATGCCCTCTTAGCTGAGTTGTTCAAGCCACACATTTGCAGGGCTCTCCATAGCCTCCGTGTTGCACGGGTTGGCTCAAAGCGGTGGTGGTTTTGGTACTTGTTTGGGAGATTTTGTTTTGAGCCAGCTGCTTTCTCAGGGTGTAGGGTGGCGTGAAAACATGTGCCATGTTTCTTTCAGGCGAGAAAGGCGTGGCTCAAAATTTTAGAGCTAGGGCTACACAGGTTCTGGCCTTTGGTTCCATTTTCCAAGGCGCATCTTAGGTACGTGTTTTTGAGCCACGGCCTCCGAGAGGGCAGGGCAAAAGCCTTTGGGTATAGCAGGGTTTGCTTGTGAATGTTCAGGCAGGGGTTGGGAGCAAAATGACGTATTTTGCTTTGTGTCGCTTTCGGTTTTGACGCTTCCCAAACTTGTGACCATTTTTTCCCACCACCTAACATTGGGGCCCCCGAATTTTGAATCTTCACAAGAGGACTACTCACAAAGGGATTTCGCAAGCTTTAATTCCCCAACAGATGAAAGCTAAGGGGTCTCAGCCCAGATAAGGTTTGAGAATGGCTCGGGGGGCAGCTCTGGAGTCAGGTTCGAGCAAGGCTCCGGAGGTTCCTGGGTGGTCTGGTGCAGGCCAGGTGCAAGGTTCAAGGAAAGTTCCGGAGGTTCCCGGGCTGGTGCAGGCCAGGAGGTTCGGGGTGGTCTTGCCTGCAAGGTCTAAGGTTCTTCGGAGGTTTCGGAGGCTTCAGGGTGGTCTGGCCACGGTTCGGGGTGTGTAGGTTCAAGGAAGGTTGTGGAGGTTCGCGCGGTCTAGCGCAGGCCAGGTGCAGGCCAGGTGTAAGGTGCAAGGAAGGTTCCAGAGTCAAGCATGGTCCAGTTTTTTGGGGTTGGTGTGGTTGGTGCAGGCCAGGTGAAAGGTTCAAGCACGTTCCGGAGATTTGGGGTAGCTATAGCAAGGTTCCGGTTCTGGGTTGTCTGGCGCAGGCCGGGTGTAAGGTTGCAGCAAGGTCGTCTGGCGCAGGCCAGGCGAAGGTAGAGGTTTCGGGATGGTCTTGGTGCAGGTGTAAGGTTCACGCAAGGTTCCGGAGGTTGGGGGGAGGTGAAGCTGCCGCGAGGGTTCTGAGTTCTGAGGTAAGTTTTCGCAATCTGCGAAAAAAAAAAAAGAGAGCGCCGCGTGCTCTTGGGGATACCACTTGTGCTATGACCGGGTTGCTATATCGAGCTGTTTCTGAGCAGGGCTCCGGAGGGTTCCTGAAAGCTCCGGAGGGGTTTGAGGGAGGTTCCGGGTGGGGAGGTGGCTGGATAGGGCTTTGGTGCGGTTCCGGATCATTCCGAAGAGGAGCGGTTGCTGTTTGCGGATGCCAGGTGGGCTTACTTTTTTGAGACAGCCGGACAATTCGATCGTTTTCCCCTTGCGCGATGTCCCAAACGAGCAGGAGCCGGAGCCGAAGCCGCGGCCACCATCCTCGCCAGGCGGTGCCGGGGTTCCGTGGGGCTCGGCGTTGGGGACGTGCCAGGTGAAAAGCCCATTTTGGGGAGAGACACGTCAATGAATGCGTGCAATGGACAATTGCCCATTGAAAGCAACATAGTAGCACTCAAAGGAGCTTGCTAAGCAACCCATATTTAGTTGTTGAAGTTGGGTAAGTGTACCAAAAGTCATCCAATTTCTACGGTCGATGGCGGTAACGATTGACAGGCGTTCATTCAGGGACCCGTATAGCAATATCCTCTAAGCATCACTCCCAAAAGTATATTCTGCTTCATGGCCCAAACAGGAGTCTTTAGATTAGATCACAACTCCGAACATCTAGGGATGTCAAAATTCGAACCGCCCAAATGTTTGGGGCAACTTTGTGTCTGTGTTTCCCCCCCTCCCCCCATCGCGTGGAATTTGGCGATTGCTCCACCGGGTTGCGGACCTTTGCGCGCGCGCGCGGTTTGCGCAGAACGCGCGCCTCGGTGTCGAGGCCAAGTTGATCGTAATTTCGTGATCAACATATGATAACTCTCGACTTGCTGCAGAGTTGATTTAGATGCACAATATGTACATGTTTTGCATCTACTTTCGGAACCTTGCATTGGACAGGATGAATATGACACCTTCTCATGCCTGTATCCCTGGATCAACCTGAGTTGCACCAACGGCAATTTCCTGGGAAGCACCTGTAGGAGGCCTGTTCAACTCCTCATTCTGCGGAATACAAATGGTAGAACCAAGTTCCTTGTGTCGGCCAAGCCTCAACCAACCTCTGGCCAACCCTCCCTTCCCCAGACTTTTCCAAACAAACCAATCCTCTAGCAGCCCATAGCGGAGCCTTTCCAGCCGAAGCGAGCCTTACACCACGCTTTGAGCCAGCGAAGCGCAGGCTCTCCCTCCGGCCCGCTGCATCTCTATGAGGCGCGAGCTCGCCAATCTGTTTTCTGACGGAGCGGTCTCGCGGACCTGGACGTTGTTTTTGTGACGATTAAAATTGTTGTCTCAGAGGGGATGGAATGATGAACATGTGGATGGTGGGCTTGGGGCATTGTGGATGACGGGATGAGGGTGGAAGAGAATCCAGCGGAACCACGGGCCTGGGACAGCTGCCTTTTCACCGACTACTCGCCTGCCCTTGTGACTGCTATTTGCAGGATGCTGCCAGACGAGAGCAGTCTCTGCAAGAGAGGCGCGCTGCAGACACAGACGTTCGTTTTCAATGGCCAGCTTTTGTGGGGAACTAGGGCTGTAGGTTCCTCATTCCTGACAGATGTTGTTCTGGAGCTGCTTAGGAATCAAGACCTCACATTGTTCAACGGCAACCCCCGGCAGTCCGTCAATGGCAAAGCTTGTCCCGGGCCCACATAAAGAGATGCGTCTGGGCAGCTCTGGATGTTTGAGGGACCAGGTTTTGCTCCAGGGCAGCTTTTCGCAGCCCCAGCGTTATCGGCCGCAATCGACCACGAGCCTTTTGCCTTTTCTTTGGTCTTCTGCAAGCATCCTGGGCAAGGAAAACAGAGCGTTTGTTTTGGAACTGGACTGGCGTCCATTTCCTCACCATGTCCCGCCGAGAGGCAGCGGAAGCAGCGACAGGCTGAGATGGAGGCAGTGGGACACATCGGGTCAGGTGGCTCGCTCTGCCTTGTGCCCAAAGTTCGGCTCTCATATGCTGGATGCAAGGTATGTAAGGTTTTCACCTAGTCTCCTTCGAACAATACGCACACTCACACGCATACGTACATACATACATATACATACATACGTACGTACATACATACATACATACATACATACACGCATGCATGCATGCATGCATGCATGCATGCATGCATGCATACACGCACGCATGCATGCATGCATACATACACACACACACACACACGCACGCACGCAGGCATGCATGTATGCATGCATACATACATACACGCATACGCACATACATATACATACATACGTACATACATACATACATACATACATACATACACGCATGCATGCATGCATGCATGCATGCATGCATCCATACATACATACACACACGTACGCACGCAGGCATGCATGCATGCATGTATGCATGCATACATACATACACGCATACGTGCATACATGCGAACATGCGTACATACATACATACACCCATACATACATACATATACATACATACGTACATACATACATACACGCATGCATGCATGCATGCATACATACATACAGACACGCACGCACGCACGCAGGCATGCATGTATGCATGCATACATACACGCATACGTACATACATGCGTACAGTTACATACATGCATGCAGGCATGCATACATACATACATACACGCACGCACGCACGCATGCATGCATACACACACGCACGCACGCACGCAGGCATGCATGCATGCATGCATGCATGCATGCGCGTGTGTATGTAGGTACGTATGTACGTATGTATGCATGCATGCATACATGCATGTATGTATGCATGTATGTATGCACGCATGCATGCATGCATGCATGCGTGTATGTATGTATGCATGCATGCATGAATGCATGCGTGTATGTATGTATGCATGCATGCGTGTATGTATTTATGCATGCACGCATGCATGCATGCATGTATGCATGTATGCATGCATGCATGCGTGTGTGTGTGTGTGTGTGTGTGTGTGTGTGTGTGTGTGTGTATGTATGTATGTATGTATGTATGTATGTATGTATGCATTCATGCATGCATGCATGCATGCGTGCGTGTGTGTATGTAGGTACGTATGTACGTATGTATGCATGCATGCATGCGTGTATGTATGCATGCATGCATTCATGCGTGCGTGCATGTATGTATGTATGTATGTACGCATGTATGTACGTATGCGTGTATGTATGTATGCATGCATACATGCATGCACACATACATACATATACATACATACGTACATACATACATACATACATACATAATTACATACATACATACATACATACGCGCATGCATACATACATACATGCATGCATGCATGCACGCATGCATACATACATACATAATTACATACATACATACATACATACATACATACATACATACATACATACATAGATACATACATACATACATACATACATACATACATACATACATACATACACGCATGCATACATGCATGCATGCATGCATGCATGCATGCATGCATGCATGCATGCATGCATGCACACATGCATTCATACATGCATGCATACATCATGCATGCATACACGCATACATACATGCATGCATGCATACACACATACGTACATACATACATACATACATACATACATACATGCATACATACATGCACACATGCATGCATGCATACATACATAGATACATGCAAACATATATGCATGCATGCATGCATGCATGCATGCATGCATGCATGCATGCATGCATGCATGCATGCATGGATGGATGGATGCATGCATACATACATACATACATACGTACATGCGTGTGTGTATGAATACAGACATATACACATGCATATACACCTTTTGTTCTTGAACTTTACCAGTCTCGCCCACCCGTTCAGACCCCTTCGATGCTCATGTTCAGTGGGATCCGACCTCCAGCCGCGACGTTCTTGAGCAGCGAGCTGCTACAGGTATCCAGTAGTAGTTAATGCGGTGTGCAAGCATAGTAAAACCCGATCTGACAGCAGTTTTCCAAATGAACTGTTCATGATCATGCCACCATCAAACGCCAGGTTGTTCACTTCAGGGCGGGCGGCGCCTATGTATTCCTGGGAGAGGTGTGACGCATGATTGCAAGATCCAGTAGGACTAATCTCACGAAGGCATTCGCAATTGCATTTCTTTTTGTCACCTCACATGTTGTATGCAGAAGTCCCATTGTTCTTCCCACCTATTTGACGGGAGGCGAGGGCCTCATTTTCACACGATGACCCATGGCATTCCCGGCGTTTTGGCGCTTGGCGGCAGCGGCTGCTTGGGCGTTGGCCGTGTCGGAGCGACCTCCGCTGGTGGAGCCTGCGCTGGTCACGCCGGTGCTGTGGAGCCGGCCACCAGACGAGTACCTGGCACGGGGCGTGCGGGTTTGCGAGGACAGCGAGCGGGGTGGAGTTGTGTGTTTTTGAGGGTTCCTTTTGAAGGGAGAACAACGGGAAAACCAGTTTGAGGGAGGTATGTGTTAACAGGCGGGGGGGGAGGGGGGGAAGTGGGGGTGGAGAAGGCCGTCAACCCAAAGATTGGCTTCTTGGTCCTTTGATTGGACGCGCCTTCTAAGTTGCGCTCCAACTGGTGTCGGTTGGGTCTTCTCCATAAACGCCTCGTTGCCAAGCGCGGTTGCGCGCAAGGAGGGACAGTGGCGGCTGCACGTGGAAGCCCTGGACTTCAACCACACCGCCCTGCCGCTGGAGCCGCGCCGCGTCTGGTGGAGTGGGCGGGGGTCAAGAAAGGGGGGTTGCGGGTTTCGGCAGTTTGAGAACTGAACTGAGGGGTCAAACAAGTTTCACTAGACCCACGTGCCTTGAGGAAATCTTGAGGGATTCCTAGTGTGGGCTTAAGCTGTGATGTCTGTCTTCCTGGGGTTGGACATGTACACTTGGAAGCCTAGGTTTTGATTGCTCACGGCTTCCACTTGTCTTTCCACCCTGGATGACCCGCGGAAAGGAGGCTTGATCCAGCGCTTCCCTTTCATGCTGGGGCATGGACCCCGAGGCCTGGGCTTCGGCATTTCCACCCACATGGGCGGGGGTTACCGCATGGGATGTCTCATTGGCGCGAAGTATTGGATATGATACGCTTCATCAAGCGTGCGGGTTGAATAAGGATCTACTCAACATGTGATTGGTTCCTGGAGCATGTGAGGTAAATGTCCCATGCAGGACAGTCTGCATACCAATAAGGTCCCGCAGAGCCGGGGGGCGGAAGTTTTAAACATATATAAAACTATAGCTCTCCCCTTGATTGTCTTGATTTCCTCACTTGTTTCATCTTTCTTTCCTGATTTCTCTCTTTCTGTCCGTCCTTCCTTCCTTCCTTCCTTCCTTCCTTCCTTCCTTCCTTCCTTCCTTCCTTCCTTCCTTCCTTTTTCTCGTTCTCTTTCTCGTTCTCTTTCTCGCTCTCTTTCTCGTTCTCTTCCTCTTCCTCTTCCTCTTCCTCTTCCTCTTCTTGTCTTGTCTTATCTTGTCTTGACTTGTCTTGTCTTATCTTGCAAAAAAAAAACAAACACTGTATCTCTGTCTTTCTATCTGTCTGTCTGGTCTCGTCTCGTCCCGTCCCGTCTCGTCTCGTCTCGTCTCGTCTCGTCTTGTCTTGTCGTGTCTTGTCTTGTCTTATCTTATGAATCTTTCTATCTATCTAATCTATCTATCTATCTATCTATCTATCTATCTATCTATCTATCTATCTATCTATCTATCTATCTATCTATCTATCTATCTATCTATCTATCTATCTATCTATCTATCTATCTATCTATCTATCTATCTATCTATCTATCTATCTATCTATCTATCTATCTATCTATCTATCTATCTATCTATCTATCTATCTATCTATCTATCTATCTATCTATCTATCTATCTATCTATCTATCTATCTATCTATCTATCTATCTATCTATCTATCTATCTATCTATCTATCTATCTATCTATCTATCTATCTATCTATCTATCTATCTATCTATCTATCTATCTATCTATCTATCTATCTATCTATCTATCTATCTATCTATCTATCTATCTATCTATCTATCTATCTATCTATCTATCTATCTATCTATCTATCTATCTATCTAGCTAGCTAGCTAGCTAGCTAGCTAGCTATCTTATCTATCTATCTATCTATCTATCGATCTCTCTATCTATCTACATGTCTATCTATCTATCTATGTATCTATCTATCTATCTATCTATCTATCTATCTATCTATCTATCTATCTATCTATCTATCTATCTATCTATCTATCTATCTATCTATCTATCTATCTATCTATCTAATCTATCTATGTATCTATCTAATCTATCTATGTATCTATCTATCTATCTATCTATCTATCTATCTACCTATCTATCTATCTATCTATCTATCTATCTATCTATCTATCTATCTATCGATCTCTCTATCTATCTATCTATCTATCTATCGATCTCTTTATCTCTCTATCTCTGTATCTCCCTATCTCTCTCTCTATCTATCTATCTATCTATCTGTCTGTCTATCTATCTATCTATCTATCTATCTATCTATCTATGTATCTATGTATTTATATGTTTATCTATTTATCTATTTATCTATTCATCTCTCTATCTATCTCTATCTCGTCTATCTATCGATCTATCTACCAACCTATCTATCTATCTATCTATCTATCTATCTATCTATCTATCTATCTATCTATCTATCTATCTATCTATCTATCTGTCTTTATATCTATCTATCGATCTTTCTTTTTTCTATCTATCTACCTATCTATCGATTTACCTAATCTGTTTATGTATCTATCTATCTACCTACCTACCTATCTATCTGTCTGTCTGTCTGTCTGTCTGTCTGTCTGTCTGTCTATCTATCTATCTATCGATCTCTCCATCTGTCTATCTATCTATCTTTCTATCTG